CTGAAATCCTTGAGTGAACATCTTGACCAGTTTACAAAAATTGTCTCCACTAAAATAATCTATCTTTCAAATGAAAAGAGTTTATAAAAATACGTCTGTGAATCTACATTACTGAAAAAGTATGTAGTGTTAAATTTGAAAAGTTACATTAACTGAGACAAATTTCATAAATACTGCACAATATACACAGCATGATGAGAATACTAAGTAAGTAAGAAGGTCTTCAATGCTGAATTAAGCATTGCATAATGTTTTGCATCCTAAGAAGTAAGAGTTAAGTTCTTCGTCTACTATATAAAGACTGAACACGTCACTTGCTTTTACATCCGTTGATAAGCTAAGTACACACATCAAATTATCTAGAAAAATTGCTCTTTAGTCACACTCTACAGTAAAATAGATTACACAGAAACATTAAAAACCACCATTCATATTTTTGAGATGACGACGTACAAACTATATCTCTAAATAATAAAGGTTAAAAGAGTTAACTCTGGAAGATATTTATTTATTCGACTGTTCTATTTCAATTTACTATGAAATACACAGTTGGTCTTAGGTTAGGTAGTTAGGAGCAGTTTTTTAAGACCGATAATCTTTTTGTTGCCGCCTGTCGGTAAAACTTATCTGCATTCTTGATGGGACTGGTTTCACCTCGATAATTAGAACGCAAGCAACCTAGTTCTGAAGCAAGCATCGTTACGATTTGCTGTCCAGAGTTATTTGGAGTGATAAGTTATCTAGCCTACTGATCACATCGCAAATGTTATAAACACTAAGGTCTAGACATATGACACTGGTTATTTCCTAGTGGTCAAGCAATGTAACTGATCCATATTACACTATTCATTAGATTACATTATCGAAAATTCACCTTATAATTAGTAAATGTACAATTAAAATTTATAGAGAAATCACGATAAATCGACTTTTATCTATGCAGCGAATTCATCGTATATATTTTTGTCAGATAACCAAGATGTGAATGAATAAATCCTGAATTTGAAACAGTGAATAACACATTTACAAAAAATAATATTTATAAGTAAAATGGAGCTCTTGCACACCATATCGATCTAAACTGTATATAGTTAGGGATATATTTACTGACGTATGTATACCGATTTTATGTGATTCATCCATAACACGTTTGTTTATTCGATGCACTCTAAATTACCTTTGCAATAGTTCCTAATAAATTGCTGACTGTGACAAATTATACACAATATAGATCGTATCTTATAATTGTTCATCAAACCTGTGGATTATGATTCAATCAAAATCCAAGAGATCCACTTGCGTATGTCTATAGCTTTACTATTTTCCAGTCTATTTTATATAGTGTAGAAACTTGGCCGTCGTTTCTCAAAAATGCGTCTTCATATATAAAGTAAAATTCTCAATGAATGTATAAATAATTGAAATCATATTCCGTGAAATAATTCGTATAAACAGAAAATAACAAAATTTTTCTTCAGCATTCTGAACCACATTTCTGATAGCTACAGAATGAGATTGTATGCATTTCAACTAGGTTTCTAAAGGAGTAGTAAGAGTAACAGTTGTTTTAAATGTAAACTTGCAACAACTAGTGAAGGTTAGTTTACAGCTGGCATCTATTTTTTTTTATTATGTATCATATATTCAAGATGGGTTTCTGCAGTCAGAAAGGAGTAGAGAAAATGTCTATAAAATAGGCTTTTAGATACAACTATTTATAAATGCCAATGTTTATCTAATGGTCTAAGTAGTCACAGGTTCTAAGTCACCGTATTCTGAACTCTATACCTGGTATAAACTAAAGGAATAATTCATGCAATACGCTATGAAACATGATTCTGTGACATTACCTGACTGGTATTGTCTGTTTTTACAACTTTATGGCTTGCAAAATATCTAGTTAAAACTACGCTTTTAAACAGCTGACATCAGGCGTTGAAATACTTGGTAAGTTGGCATTTCATACTAACTAAATGGTTAATTTTTCAGATAAACAAAAATAGCCAGTAGTTTGATTGGATTTGAAAGAAAGCTACATAATTTAGTACTGATTTGTTCATGATGACACTATTCGATGACACTAATACAAGCCAGAGATACAATGAGCTAAACTAACTGATGTCAATTTCTTTTATGAAAAAAGGAAAAATCAGAGAGACGTAAGCAATCGTTTCATTCTGGTTAATGTGTCTGAACACAGTACATTGTTCTTGGTGTGTTTGGCTGCAAAGTATTTGCTCCATTTACGGAATCTTCCAGTAAAATAATTGTTGATAACATATCGTTCGGGGCGATACTTATCTGTCCAAAGTATGCTTCAACCTGCCGCGACATTTCTCCTTCATTTTCTTCGTGAAATCTAAAGCAGTAGTCTGAAATACATTTAGAAATCGACATGAATACTGACTGCGATTCAAATTATTGGCCAAATGAAACAAAATGAAACAGAGTAAGTCCGATTTAACTTGCGGAATGGACAATTAGGAAGCCCCAGGCCATTACAAATGTACACCACAGCTAAGTGGTTAAGGAATTAAAAAACAAAATATTTCCATTTATGGGACGAATATTCATGTGAAAGCTTATATTATGTCTAACACAGTGCATAAAGTTAGAACTAATTTGCTTAAATGACGAAGAGTAGTTTCCTATCAAATATATTTTGTTATCTCTAGGATGCTATCAGTCAATAACCATTGTATCAATACATACCTGGAAATGTTTAAGGCTTCTTTCAACACTTAATTGTCTTAAGGGCTATTCAGGTACTAGTTAAATTACTTAAACATTATGAAAATAATACTGAATATTCACTAATAATCTGTTTCTGTTGTGATTACTAATTTCCAAAGGGACTGATTACTTATGTAATAATTCCAGGTATTTTGATTTATTCTTATAATGTAGAAAATAACCGTTACATACATGAAAATATGTAGCATTCTCCGTTTTCTTCAATATCTATATATACACAGGCCTATTTCGCAATTTTTTCTCATTCCTATATGTTCCAAGTAGGACACAAGACCTCAAGCTTCAGTCTTTGAAGTTTTAGTAGTCGTGACTTTGTGTTTACAGTGTGATATTGCTAGCATCATGTATGATCTTCTCTCTTTACCAGGTCTACCACTAGTTAGGTCAGGGTAAGAAGTGTCTCGGCCGGAAGTCAGAACCGAACGGCGTGCACATCTGGCGGGCATTCTACACCTGAACCATAGATTCTCATTTTCCTAATGGTGAATATAGCTTGACAGCTCAAAGAAATTAAGAAATACATACGTTTGAAATTCAATAGTCTGTCATACTAGATAAAGTACGCATAGATGACAATAGGGTGATGAATTCTAAATAACGCTTATTATGACTGAATCGAAAATAAACAAATTTCAAAGTTCTTCACTTTTACACTAAAGTGACAATTAATAATCCTCCAAAGTCAATTACAACACCTCATTCTATCTTCAATACGACTTACGTATCCATTTACTACACCTAGTAGAAGCTCCCGTTCTAATTCTCTAAAAATCAATTTTGAGTTTATTAGCACTTTCTGTTCACCTGTCAAAATAAGGTAGTGGGTGTTACCGCGTTTCCCTGTTTATCATAAGTGTTTTGTGGTTATATAAACAAAAATATATTGTATACATTAACCATTGGAGTTATGATAGAAAAAATTAGCCTAGGCACTTGATTATAGCAGCAAATGAAATACTGTTGCTTGTGATAAAAGAGGAATGGTAAATTTAGACATGCAAATTGTGATTCTAAAACATTCCATGGATTAACAAGCACTAGAATCACATGTTTATGAACTCTTTAGCAGGAAGGTATTGAATGCCATGTCTTAAACATTTAATCTACCTGTCATTTGTAAATGTTTCGATAAAAAAATACATAGGAATTAACATGATTTTATTACATTTGTTTTAATATTACAACTTAGCTTTTAGCGGCCACCAAATTAGCTAAATGTAAACATTTAATCTAGTATAGTGACCGTTTACATGACTAAGATTGTTAATTAAAAGTGGTGGCATGCATACAGTACCGAACTGGTCCTATAATTTAACCTGCTTAAGTGGTTGAAGGTCTGCGTCGGTGGCGCAGCCGTTAGGGCGCTCGCCAACCATGCACATGGTCCGGGGTTCGATCCCCGGCCACCGACGCACTCCTTTACCTCGCTAAGCCAGTAATAAAAAAGCTGGTAAAGAGGAAAGGTTGGGGATGAGGCTAGAAAACCTATCCTGTAAAATCAAACGCTGTTACAGAAACTTCAAGCCACTAGCTTAAAGCTCTATGTTCGACTGGGAACGTGATGGAAATAAAAAAAATGTAGTTGAACGGTTAAGTGAATTCACAGATTATAAAGTATTCAGCCAAAGGTTCAAATTTAAGTAACATCTTTTATGTATCATTCTGGTGAAATTAGATTTCTGACTTAGAATACATAGGACAGCAAAACATCAGAAACAGTTTTATAATCTTTTAATAAAGCGAATAAAAGTGATTATACTGTTTATTAAATACATAGATACGTGTTCATGGCAATGTTGATAGATAGACTGGTAACAAGATAAAAATGTCTTTAACTTGTTGGAATCTTTACCCCTAAGAAAAATACAGGACTGCCAAACACTGCCACTTTATGATTTTTCAAGTTTGTCGATACTGAGCAACAAAATGTTTATTGTTCATTGGTGACATAAGTAAACATGATCCATGCGTAACTGTTTCACCAAAAAGAATAAATAATATTCGTTGTCATGATCACATGGATATACGTTTTAAGGAGTACCCATCGAAAATGGTGAATTACAGCAGTCTAATTTGGAGTCGGGGGTTCATATGATACAAATCACTTTGCTATTGTACCACATATCTTCACCCAAAAAAGCTGCTATATAGTTGGAAATGAGTAATTTATTGTATAATCTAACATATTAATCATAATTGGAAGAAAAAACAGAAATATGTCTATTTTATTACCATTATTTTTACAGATTTACAAAAATGGTCTCGTAGCATTGGATAGTATTTCTGAGGCTAACTTACCATCAAACTACCCCACGAATACAAGCATTACCAAAAAACGTTTACAGGATTTTGACGGTCGATATTTGAGCATCTTCAGTTCGGTAAATAACGGGAATAGCGGGAAAATCCATGTTAGGTAAATCATATATATATATTTATATAATTTAAAGAATTTTCAGATTTATTAAGTGTAAGAGTTGAATATATACTCATGGTATTTGATATTCTTGGTTTATAAGTCTTGCTGTTACTTCAAAGTTTGGGGTTTGTTTTAGTTGCTGTAAACTATAGTTCATTTTTCAGAAAAACCGTTAATTTCTTTTTTCAAAAGTGTAACCTTAGCCATTAGGATGTTCCCCGAAGTATATCAATGTAACCGACTTTACAAGTATCTTTGGCCTACATTAATTGGATAATTAACGTCCTTCATATACGATTTTTTCTAAAGAATTTGAAGCAGGGAGAAATCATTTTTGATATGAAGCTGAATTCTGAATACTGAAAGATGAATCCAGTTACAATCTGATGATAACTTTTCGCAACACTACAGAAGCCGAGCTGGCCAGAATAAATCTTATCTCAGTATGGTTCAACAGGTCTCTGCTAAGTTGACTTAGATTTCAATCTTACCTTCTTTTCTTCTTTGTAAATTTGAAAACCACCATTCATCATGGAATGCAAATCTATCCATCCACTTCTACCTATTCTATTGTCTGTCTTTCATTAATATTTTGCAGAGTTACTTTCTTAAGTGTACGCGATTAGCTTTTTGTCCACATGTAAAGCTATAGGAATCAGTAAGAATAAACCAAAGCAAGAATCGGAAAAGCAAGACAAGCTTTCATTACTCTCAAGTCTGTGTGGAAATCAACAGCACTCAGCATCAAAAATAACATCCGGATCTTCAACTCCAATGTGAAGTCAGGGGCTACTATACGGATCAGAGACTTGGCGCGTCATAAAGAGAGCCTCAAACAAACTACAAACCTTCATTAACAGTTGTCTTCGCTCAATAATAATGATCAGATGGCCAGAACAAATCAGCTATAGGGATCTCTGGGATCAAATCAACCAGGAACCGATTGTGCAACAAATAGGCAGGAAGAAATGGAGGTGGATTGCCCATACTCTGAGGAAACAAACCATCAAGTCACATCACTAGACAAGCCATTGCTCGAGTGGAACCCGAAAGGGAAGAGGCGAGTTGGTCGTCAGTGCGAGGGTGACATGGAGGAGGTCATGTGAAGAGGAGATGGAATGTGTGTTAGCACACTTGGAGCGGGGTGAAAAAGTTGGCAGAGAACCGAAGGCAATGGAGACACGAGACTGAAGCCCTATGTTCCTCTAGGAATGAAAGGAAATAATAATAATGTATCCAAAATAGTACATTCATCCCTTATACCAACTTTGCTCTAACGTAAGGTCATAATAGGCATAATCATCTCATATCTTTATTTTTTATCAAGTTGTTCCATACTTTAACAATCTTCTTTCAACCTTACTTGTTCCTTTTCACCTTGTTAATTTAACAAGCCTTATTATTATTTACCATCCTATAAATTTACGCTAAGCTTATCCTATGTATGTGTGATATTTGAAGTAAATTTGTCTAATAAGGAATTACTTCCTACCACAGTTCTCAAGTTCTACACATATATGAATGATGCTTATTCTATTTGTTTATTCCAGTGGCTAAAAATAACCTCCTGTGACCTCAGTTATAAATAGCATAAACAATTTACTTGGTTATTTTGCTTCATATCTCCATTTACTGTACATTTCCAATTCGTTTTCAAAACAAGTGCTAAAGGAAATCATGAAAAAAACGTTATGTAAACTGAAATGTAATTTTTGAGACGACAAGCGAAAATGAAATTGAAAGTTTTTCGAACGAGTTTTGAGATATACAGAAACTAAAGAAAGTTGAAGACGCTTTAAAAATACAGAGCTGAAAAAGCAATCCGATTAGTCACTGTAAACTGACTGAAATTTATTCTGTCAGATGAAATGTGAGTCTAGGCTCAAAAATAATTAATGCTTAGCAAAAGGCCTTTCTTTATTGTTTATGGACGGCTTCTTAACTAAAAACTAAGCAACAAATGTCTCGCTTTTCTGTCAGTTCTCCTTTATAGTGTTTTAGTGGAAGTTTCTGCATAGAAAAATCACTACAGTGAACTCCTGCAACATTAAAGAATACTAACCCAGCCTACGCCTAGAAACTCATTACTTCAGTAATACACATAAAAGAAAAATTAGAAATGCCTCATATCGCAGGATACGACGTCGTTTAAGTGAAGGTATTTTAGAATACCTTATTCATGAATAATTGAAAAACGGATTCTCAGCGTTAGTTGTCTTTACAATTCAAACCAATTGGACTATAAGTCTTATAAAGTGGATCTTTACACATTAGTATTCATATCTTGGCTCTGCCTAGATAGTAGTCTATGGAGGTTTGAATCCTTAGTAAGAATAGGATATTTTCCCTAGTTACTACTGATTGTAAATGGAAGTTACAAACAAAAGTTGACTTGAATCACATGTTTATCCATTTTTTAGCAGAAGCCAGAAACAACAGCCGTTATGAGGAAACTTCATATGACTTTGTGGATGAAATTTTATTTTGATAAATCACACAGTGTTGTACAGTAATGCTTACTGACGACGTTCCGAGCAGAAATTATTGCTCATAACACTGTGATTTATCAAAATGAAATCTTATCCATAATGGAGTTATACTTTACCACAGTGACCAAGTTTTGTACTTATATTAATAATACATATGACTTTGTTCGCTCTGATTAACGTTTTCCTTCTGATGTCATTCAGGTTGTTAATTTTCAGCCTTCAGATTCTGAACATTAAACGTTGTTATTACGACCAGTCAGCTTATAAATATTATCTGGTTTTAATGTTAACTGTTGCACTTTTTGAACATATGTCTAAAGTCAGCAGATAGTTTTTCAATACAGCCTTGATGGTGAAAAACATTTTTTTCTGACAAGTACTTCACTTATTCTCTTAAACAATTTGTTTTGCTAAAGCTGTTCTATTTTTCTATGTTCCTATGTATTAATTGTTTACTTTCTGTTCAACCCTGAAAATTTTAGCCAAAATAATTATAATGATACAAATCGTGGTTGTTCTCATTCTGTGTGTTCAACTGGCAGAACACATGAAAAAAGTCTTTTGTGCTTTATTCCTTTTCCATACGATTTGAGTATCGTTTCGATTTCACAAAACTTCTGATCACTTTTCTAATTATAACCCTTTTATATTCAAGAAGGCTGCATATTATCCCTTTACTTTCATTTGACGATACTAATAAGCAAATGTCAGTTTTGCTAAGTTCGTACTCCTTACTTTTTAGGTCATATTCGTTCCCTCGTCATTGAAGACCGGGTATTCTGGCTGAAATGAAAGATTACTGCACTGCTTCGCGTTGTTTTGACAATTACTTAGGATATTCAAATAAACTGATATTCCACTGCCCAGTGTAATATTTTGACTCAATGAAATGGAAGTTCGTAAACGTCAGCGATGAATTACATTTTATGTGTATGTGATGAATTGCTTTAAACGTTTACAGGGTAGAGTCAGATATTCATTTAGCCGTTTAAATTTAATTGGTGTCTGCTTTCTGTGGCACCATTCCTACCTTCGAAATCCTACTATCACTCAGCATAGCTACCATATACATTTCTGTGCTCTTAGTTTAGCCTTCGGAGTTTAGAACAAAACTGGAATACTTTTAAGAGTCTGTCATTTACTTTCGTCCCTCTATTTTTTTCTCCCAACAGTCGTTTTCAATGAAATTTTATTGATGAAAAATTTTTCTTAAACAAAATCTCCAAGACGTTACTTTAAAATTAATTCCTAAATAATTTATCAGATCTGTAGAAACTTCACTGTCTGATCTAAGAAGAATATTTTCCTTTCATTCATGCTACCGTCGAAAAATAACTCCCATCCTTGGTGTTAATAATTGAGGTTATATATATTACTTTGCCTACTGAACTATACAGCTGACTGAGAGTCGTTTAAGTTGAGAAGAAAACATTTACAGACTAACATGACATTTTTTACACCCATTTCAGAGAAATCGACTTACTGTCTACAATGAAACTGTCATGTGCTGAAAGATTACAAATTGACCGACTAACGAAATTTATTCATCTGTCGTACGCTGAAGAAACTGAACTCAAAGCTCAATATATCATACACATACTATGGGAGAATATGACAAACCTACACTTAACTGAACAAAAGGTAAGTAGTCGTTTTAAATTATTATTTTATGAATAAACATGTTAGTTGAGTGAGGTCGGATAAAGTGATTTGTTAGATATTTGTAACAAATTCCTAAGGTGTATTATTTATTCATTTGGTTTATTCAGTAGTGGACGTCTTTAGTAAAACTTTTTGAGGAAATTAAATTACATGTATACATATACAAGGTTTCTCGATGATAAAAATGTTTATCCAGAAGTCAGTAGAGCAATATCAAGATTCTTATGAATACTTACAGACGTTTCGCTAAACTCCACATGACTACCGGAAAATGTGAAAGATGGGAAACGTTTTCTGTATATATGTTACCTAACAGAAACATTTTAGTTGAAATCAAAACAGCAACCGTATGATCGTTAGAAAAAAAGCAACCTTGATCTCGGAACCCATACGTTTTAATAATGTCTATACATTTGACTGTTATACAGTAAATAAAAGTTATTCATATAGTACATGTTTGACAGTAAACAGTGGCCTGAACCTGAATTTCATCTTCCCAAGGTTTCTCGACTGAATGCGTGTGTATCACAGCATATCTCGAAACAAATTGCCTGCAATGTCAACCTTCTACTAGACAACTCAACTATCAGTATCACTTACGCAGATATTAGATGTGTAGGGATTTGATCAAACAAAAGATAAACACGTTCGTCAGCTATAATATTACTGCCAGTTAAGGATCATTAGGCAAATGTTTGACCTCGTGTATAACACATCAGAAGTGCTCAGCAATGGACTTAGCACAAGCCCATATATTCTTGATAAAAAATGTAAGTCCAGAGGCACTATGTACGAATGAAATGAATCATTATCTTGCTCCAAGAATATGTGGTACATGTCGATTATCCCCTGGAAATTAACCGATGCCATTTATCTACTCCTTAACGCTGAGTGAATTTTATTGTAGAAATTTGCACTGTCGTCACTGTCCTGGATGATTTAAAATCACAGTGCAGCTTGAAACGATGCAAAATGAGTGACGTAGGTTAAATTCATTGAGTAAACACCAGTTCCTTGGGTGACCACTGACTAGTATCAGTAGGCCCAAAACCCAGTCTCATGGCTTTCTTATACTGGTCTCCATCACGTATATATATATATATATATATATATATATATATAGAGAGAGAGAGAGAGAGAGCGATAACGCTGTAGAGATGAAGAGTCTAAAATGATGACGAGAAAGTTTATCACTTATGAAATTTTAATAGTGCTTAGCTGATGTCTGTCTATGATGAAGTGTATCCACCCAGACGCTGCTAAAATGGCTATCAAGTCCTCTTAGTCTTTTTGTTTGTCGTTAACATTCAGCAACGTACTTGTTCAATTCACTTAATCTAATTTTATTTGATTATTTAAGCATTTCCATTTTAATAACAATGGTTTTATCGCAAATGTCATGTTGATTTCCGTATCAATAGAGTAATACCTATGGAATGATAATTGTTTCTAATGGTGTACATTCCTACGCATTTATGCAATATATTAACATTGAATGGAATGAAAATGACGTCATTGAGGATTTAGCTTTACCTCCAGAATCGGGTATATTCATGAGACCTTTGGGTGGTTATCAATTGCCGAGAAGTTCACAAGCTGTAGAACCAAGTATCTGGTCGAAGTAAGTTCTTTTCACTTTTCATGCATCAAACAAATAAGTGTTTCTTATATTACATGCAAATTTAGATTTCTAAACTGCTTCAGTTATTGTTCTGCAACAAGTAACTTCCGAAAAAGAAAACTATACAGCTGAAAATATTTCGTAATTCATCTCATTACAATCAAATCAGAATTTAGTAGCGAGATTTCTATCACTTATGTGAACTTTTATTGATAACAATTATTTATGCTCTTCACCACTTTATATTACTACTAATAAAACGGAGTTTTCCAAGAAATTGCATGGAGGATTTCATCATGAGCTGACATCAGTTAGAGAACCATTGGAAAACCTGGACCTTCTGGTTACAAGGCTATCGACCTCGTAGACAATTAAGCCACTGAAACCCGATCCGATGGTTCTTGAATTCTAACTTCTGCCAGTTCACGACATAGCCTAACCTGTCTTCTTCTATGCGTTACTGCCCCATCTTCTACCTGCTGTACCCTGCTGGTCACGGCTTCCCACTAGAAGCCCAGGTTAGCTGCCTGAATAGGGCCAGTCACTAGTGAGCATCAGATGAATTTTCAAGTATTGGTTTTGTAAGGATTTCGTTTGATTGTATGGAGGATTTCATCATGAGGTGACATCAGTTAGAGAACCACTAGAAAACTTGGGACTACTGAAAGGCTGGTGTTTGAAGACCCGTTATTAGCTTTCGAAAATATAACACTCTAGGATATGCAAAGCGACAAGAAAAAATAACAATTTTCCTGAGTGATTTATTTATTGTTTCCTTTAAACGGGTTAAAATTTATTGGTTCATGCATCCCGGTAGTCTTCTTATAACCACAATATTACTAAAGATCAACATTTTCATAAGGCAGGAATGAATTAATCAGCTTGGCTAATCCTTAGTTCAGTAAAATCAGCTGTTAGTAGGACTACATAAGATAACCTTGGCTTGGCGATCCGCTGTTAATGCAATGAGTAATAACTGCAAGTAAGATTGAACTCTCAGCTGCAACACGATTTTATCCAGCAACTATTAGCTCTGCTGTCCACCAGCTGAGCTACAAGACCTGTGATGATTGCAATAAATTATTTACCTCACTAGCCACCTAGTTTCCTAGGTGAACTGATACAACACCAAATTGGTAATCAAGTATAGAGTAATCAGATGAGCTACATTTCTGACACCATGAGCACAGCTTCAATAAAATGCATTTGCATTACATCTGAAGAACTACTAAAATTATTGAAATATTCCAAAAGGAGGATATATTAGACTGAGGGAAATATAATAATAGATTCACTCACATTTGTTTATACTAACTACAAAAACCCTTAAGTGTTCAAAACACAAGTATCTTTGGGTTATGATAAAATTAGTTAAACTGAACTACCCTTTACATGATTATCTTTAATATTTTAAGAGTGAAAATTTTTCGAAGGATATCCGTTAAATGCAAGGCAAAACATTTAAGCTTATCCTACTTCATGTTTCTGATCATTCAAATATTTGAATGTCTGACATCAAGCACGCTGTTACTTCGGTAGAAAACATGGTAACATCACATTTAAAGGCCTGTACGCAAGGTTTATAGACACTTAATAAGCTATAAGAACAGCTTTCTTGAAGTTCAGATGATGATATGCACCTATAACTGGCACGAATCTATGAGCAGGTGTACGTTAAAATGACTGCTCAAGTGGAAAATTCCAAATTAGCTTAGAATTTAACTTCAAGTATTTTTATTACAGTTAAGTGTAAAATTTGAGTACTTAATTTCACGGTATATAAATCACTGGCCTTTCACTTTTTTCTAAATCAAGTGAAACAAACGTAGCTCTACATGGTGAATGGCTTGTTCCTTTGTACAAATCAGAGAGTATCGCAAAAACAAATGTGTGGAAGTTAAATGAAGCTGCCAATGAAATGATTATCTCAGTAAATAGAGAATGCAATAATTCACAGCTTCCAGTAGATTTAAGTAATCATACAAATTCTGAAACCATTCTTATAAAGAATTTCGATTTCGAAAATAATACGGAAGAGATGTTCAGTAGAACACCTAGCTTTAGAAGAGGTCCAAGAGATTTCGGAGGTTATTATTCAAACATGTCAACCGATGAGCATTCCTATGAAATATCTCCAGATTCACCGAAAGCTACATGGAGTATACTTCAAGAGGAGAGTGAATCATCCGGCGTTGATCCAGTTTCTGACATGGAAATGAATTTTTATACAGAAAATCAGACTGAAAGCAGTATCTATAATGAAAGCGATCAGTATGTATCTACGAATGACGATTATATGCCACCAGAAACTATCACAACGCAGACATACCATGCCCTAGGCAAATATGACGGAGATGAACAAAGACGAGAAGTAGACGAACGTGAGTAAACAAACTGTGTTCATTTTTTTCAGTTTTTTTAGAAATTCATGACTTTGATTTTTAAAGTTAATAAATGGAATTAAATTTTAAAGAACGTTTCGGTTAGCTAGAACATTTCTATACATTTTCTATAGACAGGATTTCGATAAACGTTCTAGATAACAGAACAGTTCAGAAGTTTTGTGGAATTAAAAATATTCTACTTAAACTACTCGGCAAGCTGTCACCATCATTTATGTTGTATTCAGAATACAAAGTTGTACGATCTGCATGGTTTTTTAAACTAAAACTATATAGCAGACTATTAGCAATTAGTGACAGATCAAGCTCAGTATTATTAATTAGAATAAATGTATGAAAACGAATTACTACTGAGTGAAACGAGATAACGATTGCTGATCAATTGATTTTAAAAATCACACCACACTAGTTCATGCATAAACCAAGCTCATAAGAAGTTCAAGTTCTTGTACGAGTTACATGAACCTGTTCAATACTTTCTGGTTTATAATATGCATGGAACCTATGAAAAATAAAAATCACTGACTAGTATCCTAAATAAAATACTTAAGACAGAATATTTAATATTTCTGTAGAGTTTTACACAGATTATTAGTCTACAAAGCAATTAAGAAATCAATGTGTTCTATGTATACTTCAATGCATTACAAATACCAGAATTTTGTGAATGGCTGTTAGTATTTCAGTCGTTTCGAAACACTCGTAATATATTGAGCCCCTGAATAGGGATAAAAGAGCATTCCTTCCGACAACTTCTTCAGGTTCTATAATGATATAGTTGATATTATGGGGCCCAGCATTACCTGTCAATATGATTTGAAGCGAATTTACATGACTTTATTCTGACAAAATTAAAAGACGGTCCCCCAAAAATAGTTTATTTGAAAATTAATATTTTATCTCTATGATTTACTATACCTCTGAGAACGTGAACTCCGTGTTCAGAAAATTTCAACCTAGCTCTGTTTATTACCATGGCGTCAGCATCAGTTACCTTTTTCTGACTTCTTGAGTAATAAAGTCTACGGGATATGTTTTACATTACCCTTATTCTTTATAACTCACTTTCATTTCTTGGTTGTCTTTTTTTATTACTTATTTCGAAGTGACTATCTATCATCTAACTAGTTAGGTATCATCTGTTTTGATTTCGTAAGACTATCTACTTTTTTTCACACATGGTTATTTCTGATACACTTTGTTCTATTTTTCATACTGACAGTAACCTCTGACCTTCTTTATCGATTAACACGGTACATATAAACCTCTAAATAACTGTTGAGCTTTGAAGAGAAGTTACAGAAAGAGCCCACTTAATGTCTTATTAGTTTACATCACATGTAAATTCTTGGCTATTCACTCATAAACTCACACACATTCGATTATCTAAGCTCTTTTTTTAAAATTATAATTCATTCATATGAAGTTTAAAACCATGCCAATTTAAATTAAATTTTAAAACTGATCACGATTACTATTACAACACTTCTGCAACCTAGTAACAGTATCACAAAGGCACTAGTACTGTCATTTACAATTATTCCTTAACTGATATGGGCATATAGCAGTAGAACCTGAAGGAGAGCTTATCCAAACAAATATTCCTTGTTCATAGACCAGTGGCTTAATTGTTTTAGTCAGATAGGTTTCGTAAACATAATTTTCAAGTTGTAGTGTAGCTTATTTTTACACTCACACACAGAATAAGCACAGTGCTTAAGTAACAGGTTGATGACCTGTTACCTGATCATGTCTGGATCCAAAAGGTGTAGGGCGGGCACAAGACCAGCATTCACCTGGCTAACTGCGAAGTGAAATAGAGAAAATACTCGTTTTTAAGTCATAAAATGTATAATTTTTATCGGCTGAACCCTTAAGCACGATTTTTCAGAAATCTATTTGAAAGTTTAATAATAGGAGATTGTAAGAACATTTGACTGTGAATATTTAATATTTTTGTGGTTTTATATTGACCAATTGTTTAGCAAACTCTGATTACATGAAACATTTTAAAGTCAGTTCCTGACAGTGAAACTAATTCTACTATTTTCTCTTTTTATTCTTAACACTGCTATATTACAGCTGCCATCGTACCAGTAACAATTCATCCTTTAACAGATGATGAAGATGAGGATGACAACAATAATGCAGTTGAATATCGACATCGAGAGGAAATCAGCTCAAGTGATTCAGTCAAATGTGATGCTGTAACTGAGTGTAGTAGTCACAACACAGAATGCTATCGAGTTAATAACTCCGCATGCTGTCTCTGTAGTGATGGATTTTTCGGTGCTGGCAACTCTAAATGCTGGTCCGAAGGTAAGAAATGTAGTTTTGTCGTTCAAAATTAATAACAATGATAATAAAATAATGAACTTAGTCTCCCAGGTCGAAATAAAATGCACTTTTAATAAGCAAATATTCCAATAGGCTCGTTATAATGTGACAATCTAACGCTCTGATAAAAGACTAAATATTACTGGTTTCTCGAGAAATAACTAGTGTGTTTGACAATAATGAAATGTTTAGATTTTGGATTTTGTGAGAATCGTGATTAGTTCCACTGTGGTTTACTCTGAGAACCAAAATCATAAAGAGAAACATCGAAAACCAGTAAGTTCTGAACCTTCAGGTAACGAAAGCGATTCTGTGTATAGGAAAATGAACCTTAAATTTATGTAAACCTAATAGAAAATATGTTCGCCCTGTAACTTGAAGGTTCTAGGATTGATCCGTTGGTGGGTTATCAGTGATCCCTATTGAGGAGAACCGAATTGGGAGGAAACGTCTAATCACTGCTTCCTCATATGCACTGATCCTCCAAATTTTGTCGGTTCATAACAGGATTAACACTGGAAATTAAGTTTGCACCGGTTAATTATCTGAAACAAAGTAACATTGACAACCAGGTAAATTTTAATAAGTCAAGTGGTGTAGAGTTGACAAAGACTGAAAACTATTGATTTGCTGTATACCATATTTAGGAAGTAATAAATGAACCTTGTTCATTGAACTTTCTGTAGCAGTTGGGTTGACCTTCCTCATCGGGACCACCAGCCGTACTCCCAACCTTCCTTAAATGTTTCAGTGACCCATAATAAAATGTAAGGCCTACAAAGCTGGCATTCGCTTCCTAAATACAGCACAAACTGATTACTGCGAATGATGAATGGTTGTGAATTTTTTCTGTTAGTAGTTTTACCTGATGGTTTGCAATGCGATCTATGGGAGTTGGAGCTTTGAGAGAGCAAAGTGAAGGAAGTTTATGCTTCTGCAAACTGCCGACATTTTCACAATAAACAGTGTGAATAAGAAAGTAATGCCACGGAAATGGTATTATATCATAAGATTTATTCAGTCATACAGTTCAGAAATTATATTGTCATGGCAAAATTATTCAAAACACGCAGGCGATTGGTTTATTTTAACATTACAAAGAGAATACATTAGCGTCTTTATGTTCGCCATTCAACCAATGTAACGGCTGTTGAACAAATAAACAAGCAGCTACATATTAAGTGTTCGACTTAAATATTTAAACAATGAATTTCTTCTTTGACAAGCGGAATGAATACTACTGAAGGAGTGTTTCGGAGCAAAGATGTGTCTTCCTAAAAACACAGATGGCATTTTGTGACAATTTTGCATAATATTTGCGACTGATCAATGTTTTAAAGACGATTAAACTTTCATTATTATGCTCTGTTTATTTTTTTTCGATTTCAGTTAATGACCACAAATTCTCGTTTTCTGGCTCATTATCAGCACGTTTCGGTAGCGAAAATAATGCTTCACCATTACTTGTTTATTTGGACAGTCAACATGGTTCTCTGAAACGTAGCTCTAGTGGAATTCGTGGAGGTCGTAATGACGATCGGGTGTATGCAACTCTACGTCTAATAACACCAGTGTTCCATATTTTGAATTCAATGATTTCTAGTCCTTGCGATAATAGTCAGAAAAGTGAACGCGTCTATAACCTTTTTACATTAGGAGACGGATTACAGCGCCCTTTCAAAATAATATTCCAGTTTGATATTGATGCAGTCGGCAACTTCACTGTTCAAGCAGCGGTGGATCTGCGTGATTTCTCGACTAATTCATACGCAAGTGGTGCATTGGATTTGGAGGCGTTTAGTGCGCAGGGAATAAATCTACTAGATCGGTCTTACATAGAAGCTTACAGCGCTTCAGATAAACCAGATAAAACCTATTACACAGATTACAGAATTGATGAGGGTGGACGCATTGTATTCTCAGAACAAACTGTAAAATTTGTCGCTGAAAGCCGTGATTCATCTGATGGGAGCAGTTTCCCAGAAGAAATCAATGTACGGTGGTCTGCAGTTGCTGAATCTGAAAGTTGTCTACTGAAACCTCTAAGTCCTGTGCCTAAAAACAAGTGGTACTATATACGCCTCAAAGACCGTGGTTATTGTAGTGAAGATTGTTCTGCATCAGATGGAACATGTAATCTGTTTTGTGTAGATGAACCAGTACTGATGGCCACAGAACCATGTAAGTATCAATGCGAAAAAATTGTTTCCACACCCACACCATCCTATCCATACCATTTTAATTTCAAATGTATAAATGACAGTAAGGATGCTCAGATTTTCTTTTGACAAGATAGTTTCATATTTCTGGTGTGTATACTTTATTATGTATCGATTGGCAAGTTATATTAAAAACAGCTCCCACTTGTCTATAAATAAACCACTAATCCACAATCAAAAAGATAGTGTGACATGAGAATGATGTTGGGTTCTACGTTTAGTCGTAGTCAAACAACTTTACCTAAATAAGGATGGTTTGATAGACAGTTTAAGTTCAGGATACAAAATGATTCAAACTGACGGCTTCGAGATTGCTGGTTGAATGCTCTATCAGCTGAATTATGGGATTCGCCTGGTAACCAGGTCATCATTTTATTTTAATCCTAACGAATAATGACCAGGCATCACGTGAATGAACGACTGGTAACTGTCCATTTTTAGTATTCTGTTAATCCTAACCATATTGAATAAAAGAAGAGGGTTCCGATGTTAATTAATGGCGAAACTGTTTGAAATAACCTGGGATTGGCAGAATACTATTAATGTAGTGAGTGATTATTGAAGGTGAGATTGAAATCAGAACTGATAGTCCGGAGGTCTCTTGCCTGAATCGTAATACAATTAGTCATTAGAAGTCTAACCAGGGTAACCCTAGATAGTCACCATCAAAAAGTGAATTACTCACAGCACTGTAATAATAATTAAATGTTATGCTATGGAGTAAAACTTTGACTTCTGGCTCATGTTTACTAAAAGATAAATCACTTTTATTGATTACCCGACATTATGATAATATTTAAAGAAAACCATTACTTGGTTGCAAAACGTCTTTGCACATTTTGTTTTGTAGTGAACTGCTACAGCACCTCATACTGTACTAATAATTTTCGGCTTAACTAAGAATCAAGTCGGGCAGCTGAAATACCAATTCAACAGAGTACAGCAAAAGTAACACGGTAATACTAGAAAGAAACCTTAATAAATCCATGTACAAACTTTCACCTCACAAATTAGAACATGCTAATAATAATACCTGATATAGAATGGATCAGTGAAATAGTGCGAAACAAGAAACTAGATGATAGTAGACACTAAAACTGAAAATTTCAATAAATCTTTCCATTTTAAATTAGTGGGGCCTTTACCTTTTGAGGTTAACAACTGAGGGCTAGATTTTTCTTGTTTTTTTAAATTTTAAAATAAGTGGAACAAACACTTGACTAAACTGATACTCTGGAAACAGTAATCAGTAAATAAATTGTAAAACAAACTCAATGAAAGGAAAACTAAGGGACAACCTTTTCTTAACAAGTGGCTGAGGAACTTAATACCCTCGGTATACAGTTCAAATATTATGAAATTCTATCTATTAGTCCTGTCAAAATGATAGAATCCCTTGGCTTGGTTATGGGAACTAACTTTTCGAATTACATAATCTCATTATCTGAAATACTGTTAATTTATAGACTAAACATATGAAGTTTCCAAGATAGTATCCGAAATAAACTTTCACTTATGTTTAGAATTAAAAGTTAAATTATAACCCGAGAAAATTAAATTTAGAAAAAAATGGAAAGACACTTAGAAAATCAAGTCAGATATTTAAATCATTATTATAATGCTTAATGCCCAAACGTTTTCAAACTGTGAAGTATTTACCTGATAAACAGTTATACATCGCTTGAAACACAAACAGTACTAATAAAATAAGCATTTTATGCAAGGAAAGCAACCATTTACTTTATTTTCTGTATATCATAAGTCATTGACCGATACTTCATAAACTATTAGCTCGATCAAATTAACAAAGTGATTGCTTATACAACGCACAGTAATCGGTTAAATTCCGCTATAAAATGTGCCTGCTTCTGGCTTTATTTCGTAGCCTTCTCTTTTCTATGCATGAATTGGAAACTATACAGAATTCACTTGGTAAACAAAGTGAACACAAATAACAATATAGCAAACAGTAATTATTTTCTACTACTTTCTATCAAATAAATGAATCACCTGATGGTTATCGTTAAACATGTTGAAAAAAATAGAATGATTATTCTAGTGTCGATTTTATACCTACGAACAAGCACATACACACAAGTGAATACCCAGAAATGTAGACCCCTTCGGAGTCAATAGTTCACCCCCTTTTTGATATGTATAAAAATGCTAAACGATTTATCAAATCTCAGTGTTAAAAGATAATTTGTGTTGGCTTAGTCAGAAGATATATGTAAACAAATAAATACACCGAAGAAATGAAATAAACTAATAAATGTATATGATATATTAAGTAATTGGAATTTACAAAATAAGGGAAAGGAATCATGGATATTCGATTAACCACACGATAATAATTACCGTAGCAATAACAAATTGTGACTATTAAAATAAGCATAACGGGTAGTTGGGTACTGCATTTAAAACGATTCGTTAATTAGAAACTACTTTGAAATACTACTGGAATATCGCGAAACCAAGAACCTCAATAATGAAAATTTTAAATATTTGTTACTCAACACACATCTATATTTATTTTTCGGTGAACCACATCAATAGTGCAAGGGTTAGTTAAGGGTACTATTGGGCTGAGCGAATGTTTGTCTACAAGGTGGGGTAGAGCTAGTAACTCAATAAATGAAAGTCAAGCAACTAAACTAGACAGCTACAGTAATGTAACAAGTGTTTTAGCTCAGCTATGAACTCAGTCTTATTTCTACAAACTGTGATCGTTTATTAAAACAACAAATTGCTGAGCTAACAAAACTTATTTATTCAAGTATTGGATTGTAGGGATTTGATTGATTAGTTACAGGATTTCATCATAAGCTGGCATCTGTTAGAGAACCATTGGAAAACCCGGGAGTAATGGATAGCTGTTTTGTCATAGTTTGGGACTCTTCATCAGTATCCATCCACATTTTTAATAATTCTTGTTCATGTAATACGAAGATTTACACCTAAGTAAGAGATTCACTGATAACTTATACAGGAAGCGGGCGGGACAAGTTGTAACCAGTTCACTTAGTAAATTGTTGAGTTTTCCTGAAGGTCGCTGAGTTGTCAGTCTGTGTCATTCATTGTGCACCTGGTGCACCCCACTGGTCACGACTTCTCACTAGAACCCCAGGCAACTACCTGCCTGAATAGGGCCAGTCGCCAGTGAGCATCTCATCTCTACAAACCAATGCTTGAATATCAATGAGATGCTCACTGGCGACTGGCCCTATTCAGGCAGGTAGTTGCCTGGGGTTCTAGTGAGAAGTCGTGACCAGTGGGGTGCACCAGGTCGGGTGTGAGGACAAATACTCGCCGAAGACATTGTCTGAGGTCGCCCTATATCGTGAATTGGCAGAAGTTGAAATTCATGAGCCACTGGATCGCGTCCCAGTGACTTAATGGTATACGAGCTCGCTCGCCTTGTAACCGGAAGGTCCTGGGTTCGAACCCCATGGTGTGGGTGCGTAACGATGAAGAGTCCCAAACCAGGACGAAACAGCTGTCCAGTACTCCCAAGTATTCCAATGTTTCTCTAACCAATGTCAGCTCATGATGAAATCTTTTTGAATATTTTGTCTACAGAAGTGATTTCTTAGTGTAAAGTAAGCAGTTTCCTCTATAGAAGCTGTTATCAGCTTTAAAAGCTTGAATGACTTACGAACTACTCTGATAAAAACTGAAACCAACACTTAAAACACTGAAATCATTTGTTTTTCTTGCCAATAACAACACACTGACTGAACGAAGTAAACGAGTTGCTCATCAAAATTAATAATTATTTTTCCTTTAGCCCCTTGTGACTGTGTAACATGTGATCGTCAAGGTGAAGTATGTCTCCCAGAAGGTACATCATATAGATGTGAATGTGGTCAGGGTTTGAGACTGATGCCTGATAACACGTGCCAAGGTGAGTAACATGTTCTTATGTAAGGCTTTTTAAATTAAAAACCGCATTATAAGTTGTGATATGCAGGATTAGAAACAAATACTCAAGTGTTCCTTTTACTTTTACCAGGGTGTTTTCGTTAAAGGTTTTATAGAAAGTATAATCTTTTAGTCTAGTGAAAATTAAGAATATTTTTGCTACATTTTACACCGCAAGCCAAATTACCGAAATATCACCTACTCGTGTTCCATGGATCGAATTAGAAGTAGTTATATTATACTACATAGCCGAATTGTCATAAATGCATAATAATTCTTATTTTATACACTTTGATACATTTTACTAAAAACATAACAGTAGTATTGTGAGCGGCAATAACGATTCTAGTCGGTTAGTATCAACAGATAAATGTAGGATTATGGTTGTGATTTAATATTACCAAATGTTAAAATAAGAGGTGAAATCAAGTAGTTTGAGGCGATCGACAATAAACCTTGCATCTATGCTTTGCTGAAAAGTGTCGGAAATTAAAAAAAACCCCGAAGTCCAGTGATTTCCAACTATCACTCCGAACCAGTAAACATCAATTCAAAGTCCATCACAGATGGGCACTCATCTGACTTGGTGGTAACTTTGCGTCGGTGGCACAATGGTTAGGACTCTCAACGACCATGCACATGGTCCGGGGTTCGAGCCCACACCGGCGCACACCAGATATCTATGGTCGGCCTGCGAAATTTGGGCTACGGATATCCACGCTGAAAATTCCATACTTGTACCAAAAATACAGTGTGGAATCAAGCTGTTACCAAAAATAAAAATAAAAAAAATTAAAAAAATGAACATGACCGACAAAATTTAGTCACAATGGACACAAACGACTAGAACCATGATATTCGCCGCCCTTTAATACTGATCGATGAGACAAATATTCCTTTCATTGGAATGGTACATTTTGTTGATGTTAACAGAGTATCTAGGAATTATCATACCAATCCCCTAAAGTTTATCAGCTAAAGTTGCTAGTGATTGACGTGAAGAGCTAAAACCAATCAAGAATATATATATGTGGGTAGTTCATTACAAGCGATAGTGTAACATTAAGCTTAAATATATAGTCAAAGGTTTTTATAAGATTATAAATTCGGAATACTTGCTGACTAGCACCAATTATCTCATCCTAGACAGCATTTACTAGTCAATCATATAAATCACTTACATCTAACATATATTTATTATTTTCAAGAAAATACCACTCTCACTTGTCTTAATATTTCATTTTCCTTAATGATAGTACTAATCACCGATCAGACTATAATTTTTTGATCACAACAAATACCAAAAATATATAAAATGCCAATTTTTCAATCTTAGTATATAGGTTTCCAAATGTTTTACACCTAGAAAGTCTATCAGAAGTTCTTACAGATAAAAATAAAAGGCAATTTCGAAATAAATCATTGACCGCATTCATTCTACTCCATATACCAATGGGATTTTCAATATCTCTCATAATCGTTTTTCCTTTTTTTTATATTTTTTATTCCTAATCTCATCAATTTATGATTGTGGTCCTAAAGCGACTTCAGTGGGAGACGGTAAGTAAATTAATAACTTGCATATTTTAAACTCTTATAGTAGATTATATTTTCCAAATAAGTTACTTTCCCTTTCATATTTTTAAGCAGTAATTTCCAGAAAGGCTTTGAACATTGTGTAAGAAATCGGTTGTGCGTCAACACCTAACACGAATACGCTTATCAATTATAAGTAGTTTTGTGAATGATATCAGTGTACTACAATTGAAAAAAAACACATCAAGTTAGCGGAGTAATGCTAGACTAATCCTACCGTCATTCTGTATGCAGAGGTTAGGTTGAAATCATTTGATATCAGTGGCTTTTGTGAAACTAAGCAAAAACGTTTTTTCTCTATATACTGACTGTTCCAAAGTCTCGACTATTCCCAGTTTATGATTTGTATCAGTAAATGACTTCACTTGCTAACTCCTTTATACCTTCCATGCGAAGACTGTTGGGGATACGCTCAGAAAATCTAGAAGCCATTCATCTCTCAAATGATCCTATTTGTTTTAATAACAGGGGCACATAAATTCATTGTAACTTTGTTTAAATTATTCAGAGTAATTGAGTATGAAAATTGGTGTACTCTGGTGGTGAGCAAACGTTTTCGACAATACCTTATATAACCCTAATTATAAATGGTTTCATTTGATTCGTTCAACTTTTGATCTGGTTACTTTTATTGTTAAAGGTCAAGTTTTATTATAAAAAATCTAGATGAAGCAATAAGAAGACGTAATTTGTCTGAATCGTGTAATGTATTCGTGCAACACTTTTCGAACAATCTGATCACACACGGACTTCTCATTGGAATATATATGAAATTAATAATGAGTTAAGGGGTGAGAAAATAGGCTTAAGTCAAGTTGAAAGGATATGTTGAAGGTCAAAATAACAATGCAGATCATTAAAGCAACTAACAGAGGTAATAGTACATCTACCCTGGCTGGTGTGAAAACAGTGTTTACCAAGAAAGATAGTTTAGTGTGATGACGAATTGTTGCTTTGATCGCATAAAGGTGGTTTAAATTTCCTAATTGCTAGCTAGGGCTTCCACAAACTTTCGCATACGCCCCAAACACGTTTTATAGATAAGTTTAAAAGATGTGTTAATATCAATTTTATATCCTATCTCTATAATATATGTCACAATAGAGGAGCTAGGTCTCCTGTTCTCATCATCAGTGGGTTCTGGAGATTCTACTTACTTCTGGAGCCAGTTAGGAATATGCTCTCGAGTCTTTACTTTTTGTTTGGGGCGTATGCGAAAGTTTGTGGAAGCCCTAGCTAGCAATTAGGAAGTTTAAACCACCTTTATGCGATCAAAGCAACAATTCGTCATCACACTAAACTATCTTTCTTGGTAAACACTGTTTTCACACCAGCCAGGGTAGATGTACTATTACCTCTGTTAGTTGCTTTAATGATCTGCATTGTTATTTTGACCTTCAACATATCCTTTCAACTTGACTTAAGCCTATTTTCTCACCCCTTAACTCATTATTAATTTCATATATATTCCAATGAGAAGTCCGTGTGTGATCAGATTGTTCGAAAAGTGTTGCACGAATACATTACACGATTCAGACAAATTACGTCTTCTTATTGCTTCGTCTAACTAAATTCATAAAGGGAACTATAATTTTTTACAAAAGGGAACTAATAGTTTTAAATAAAAAACTAATTAATTTGCCAGCCAATAAATTGTTTAAATCAGCCTTATTGACAGAAATATTACTTCGTTAATACATTTAATTGTTGTCTGGTTTTTGCATTAAAGTGAAGGTGACAGGTATAATAGTTGTTAGCTTATGTTATCCTACAATGATTTATTATTTATATCAGTTAATATCTAGTTTGATCTGTTAAAAGTAAAAGTCATATTGATGTCTATTAACAGATGCTACATTAATGAAAGATACATCTGGTAACTATGATTTACTGAAGTGATACAATCTCCATTGAATGTCAAATATTATACAATACACAATAATTCATAGCGTCTGAATTTTTAAAACATTTGCAGCTACACGACCAAAAACAGAATTCGGGCAATATGATAAAAAATAATTTTGCTTGTTAAAGATAACAGAGTGATGCAGTTCCATCTACTGATTATATTTCGAGCACAATTTATTCCTCATAATCATATCACATCGTCAGTAAATAATATTATGTCGCTGTGTTTCTCTATCACAAATGAAACTATTCCATGATTTACAGCCATACTCTAGAACTTGAAAACCCTATCAGGTGGTATTAAAATATTTTCATTGACTGGATAATATCACCACTAACAGATTTTATCGTAGAAAAGTTGAGGTCAGAGAGTAAAGTCCAAGTTGAAATTTTGCTACGGATTAGTTGAATCGGTATACAAACATGCAAAAGTAATAAGTTATGTTAATTTCGATTAATTTCCCTGAAGAAGTTCGGATCAGATTCGCGAACAAAACGTTGAAACTAGTCATTTCAATTTCGCTGAGATTTTACAAATATAACTTTATAAATGTCTACTTCTCACTCAGCGCTCAATTGTTTTGCAACTATCCGGTCAAATCTTGATCACATTTCACATGAATATGTAGAATAGTTTAAAGTATGAAAAGTACTCATGTTATATAAATTGGAAAGATAAGTCAACAAATAATATTATGATCGCAGCTCCTGTTCAAAGCTGGAGAGTTATATATTGTTTTTAAAGGTTATGCATATCAAGGTCATTTGTTAACATTATTTGGCAACGGAACATGTAAAACTACGTATTAGGAAGGGAATGAATAAACTCCGAAAATTGGTCAACTAGCTCTACGTAATCTTAGGATATCAAGTGGTGATTATTGTTCATAGATGATTATCATTAATAATATAAGCGTTGGGAAACAGGGTCATTGCTTATAAAAGTAATAAACTCAGAATATGAATTAAGCATTATTTTAAAGTTAGAATTCTTTAAAAGAAAGAAGAAACACAGGTGAATATGGAAAACAAATTATTGTACAGTACAGAAAAGCCTTAAAGCCGCTATAATAAAAGGGACTGGACAAGCCACTTCTGTGTAGACATTTTGGGGTTTTCCTTGTGTATACCAGGATTTTCCGTTGCGAACAGAAGATGTGGTCGGAAACCATTCGAAATACTTAGCCTTACCTTATGTATCACTTCGAAAGATTCCTCTGCTGATGCAGAATGATGGGTAAGAACAGACTGCTCAAAAGTTGAGCTATTAATTCGTTTAACTTCTCATTTCGTCAACCATACTGGGAGGTATTCTTGGTATATGCGCTTAACTCCACAGCCGAAAGTGAATTGACACATGAATAAGGAAACGTCAACGGTGGAATATTCTCATGACAGTTGGATAAGTAAGAGGTTGTGTAGAGAAGGTGAGACATTGAGATGCATCGAGGAATGTTTCTCGAAAAATTAACGATAATTAATTTGTTGTTAGACCCTTGAATTTAAGGTTTGCAACCAGAATGTTTTTTTGGCAGATCTGTTTTCTGTGGCTGGTCAGTTTTATTCTTCATATTTTTGTTGAATAATACCACTGGCTAACCATTCTTAATTCCATTTGTTGCAACATCAGATACATAGCGAATAATTCTAGGAACAAACTTCTTGAGAGAATTAGTTGCACTAATTGATATGTAGGATAAAAACGTGAATGTTGTAGATTTATGGTAGTTTATTTACACCAGAAAACAGTTAAATTCTTTCTCTTTAACAAAATCTTCCTCATTTGGGACGTACTGGGAATAAAATATTTCTCTAATTATTGGCGAATAACTAGTTATTATATGTGGAATATCCAGTCATTAAATCCATCACAAATTGCTCTGCTTAGATGACCATTTCAGACATTTATATGAAATATATAAGACTAAGAAATGTGCAACCTTAAGAAATTGATTGCAGATAATGAATTCCCTCTACAAACTTGTATTTTTCTGCGATGACATTAATTCAGTATTTCAAATTTAGTTATATTTATTATTATACGTATGCATTCAATCGCTATGCTTGCATCCACATTCTCTTTTTAGTTCACGATTATCTTGGTGTACAATGTGGTGCAGTCAACTGTCATAGTCAGGCTCGTTGTATTGATCCAAATCAAGCATTCTGTCAATGTTTACCTGGTTACCGAGGTGATGGTGTTAGCCACTGTGAAAGTGGTGAGTGATATTCCTAGTTTACCTATCTAGTTTCTTACTCACAGAAATTTCTGAAAGGGATAACGGTAGTTGTCTCCACTATTATTTCTGTTAATTCTGATAATCACTGTGGAATTATTCAGTCGTGAATGTCTGAAGTATATTCATAATCATATTCCACATTTTTGCTTAGCGTAACGGAGTATAACATGTTTGGAGGAGACAGCATGAGTAACAGTTTAATTAAACATACTTAACAAAGTTATGGTTTCGCTATAAGTGCGCAGTGGTTAGGTGATAGAATACTCGAGGCGTACTCTTAAACCGCCTATTTTATGAGCTATTGGTAAGGCCAGAAAAGGGGGAAGATTGGTCATGAGGTTATCAAACCCACTTCATAAAAACAGAGCAACCTCTGCTGAAATCTGAAAAGGCCTGAAGTTCTGTGTTCCATTTGGTATCTAAGGGATAGAAAAACGATATTCACAAAATGTGGTCCTTAGAAAAATTTGAGATAAAAGTATTACATTAACTTTTTGTATACGACTGCTAATTTTTTGTTGGTTGAAATATAACGGACATATCATATTCGCTTCTAGATTCGTGTATGTACCATAGTACCATAGTAATGGATTTCTCCCATAAGCCATCTCTGCGGTGTCGTCAAAAATAAGTCTGTTGTAATTCAAAGTTTTTTAGAAATGATGAAAGCAAAATATTCACTTTACATATAATATCAGTGTGCGTCGGTGGCACAGTGGTTAGGACTCTCGCCGACCATGCACATGGTCCGGGGTTCGATCCCGCACCGGCGCACACCTGATATCTATGGTCGGCCTGCAAAATTTGGGCTACCGATATCCACGCTGAAAATTCCATACTTGTACCAAAAACACAGTGTGGAATCAAGCTGTAAATCAAAAATAAAAAAAAATAAAAAAATAAATTGTATCTGGTTCTCTTCAAAAATAATTTAAAAATCAAAGCTATTATTAGTTTCAGCGACAGTTTTTTAGAAGCATCATCAATATCCAAAGGAATACATTAGGCTGAGTTTCTTTCTTACATTTAGTTCTGTATGAATATATCATTGCTGTATTTCAAATGTATTACTCACTATGACGAGTTTTCCCATCTGTAAAAATAAAATTATACATGGAGTGACAAATTAGAATAATATGCGCATTATAGTGGTACTAAAAACACTAATAGATTTCATCTGTTTAGGAATAATGTTCGTGATCTATGCAGTAGGTCACAGAATTAACTCTTCTTGATAAGCCATACGGAATATGTGACTGTCCAATAAGGTTATCCTGTCCACCAAGTGAAGACAATCAAATTATCAAACAAAATTAATCTACCTCAAGTACACGCAAAGCAGAGTGTTAGTTATAATTTTAAACGTCTCTTGTAAATATTTAAAAAGCCTCTGTCACAAGCAGCAATATTAGATGGTTGGAGGCAATCGGTAGGAAGCCTTGGACCTAGGTTTCGTGCTAGTTGGCACTCGTCAGCAAGGCGTATCTGCAACCTTAAGGAACCCATGTCCCTTTTGAGATTCGAACCCGCGTCACCCAGTGCTGCAGTCAGAGACGTCACCATTGAGCTATTCGGGCTCACGATTGACCTCCTGTAGGACTGTAGTGGATATTTTGATTTGATACTGGTAACTGGTGTGATGTGTCTAGTCCTTTTATTGGTGCAGACTGAATTCTATCAGTCAGGTTGTAATGTGGTTGAAGGAAATCGGCAGGAAACCGAAATCAACGTGCATCGTGATGACGAGCTACCTAGAATGGTGGACACATTACAACCTGACTGATAGAATTCAGTCTGTACCAATGAGAGGACTAGACACATCACACCATGTACTAGTGTCAAATCAAAACAAGCAACAATGCCTAGTATGCTTGCTAACATCTAAGATTAGTTCTTAGTGAAGACAGAAATATAATTGTAACAAATAACTCTAAGATACAAAAAAATTATTGACTACCAAGTATTTGTATCTTTTAAAAGAAACAAATCAGTTTTCTTGTAACATGCATAATTTTATTTAGTTACGACTTTTCCCGCATAACTTTCTCATGGTGTTAAAGCCTACCTATACCACCTGTCAGATTTACATAACTTCTTTATAATTTTTACTGTATGAATTTCTCTATATTTTATTAGAATTTAGAGATCGAGGTGTTGACGACAAATAAACTGCAGCATACTTAAAAATTATCTTTCTTATCACTAGATGAAAAATGTTTCGTATAATACTATGGTAGTCTATGAATGTGAGCACTTTCATTCTATTCATATAACATTAAAAGAAGATTTTTTTCCTTGTAATTACTACAAATTTATTGTTACTTATTCAAGATACATGAACCTTTTCCTCAGAATGTTGACTGTGCTGGTCTGTTAGCAGATGTTTCAGTTTTAGAGTGGAAAGCATCAGCTACTCAGAGATTTAGTTGATAGAATGCCATCATTGGTAGAGCGTGAGAACTTCAGATTCCCTTAGGCTTTTTTTGAGATTTTCAAGGCTCTTTGACTGCTAATATAGATTACGATGATCGTCTCCAAACTTCACTTCATCGTTAGTCTCATCTATGAAAAAGATGCGAAATATGGTACACACCTTCAACTCATTTCCAATACTCATTAGGTCTAAATGCATCTGACATATACTAGAGATATCCTGAATGAAAGTATTAAAAAGACCATGAGAAATGTGCAGTACTGCCAATAACACAAAACCCAGATTTATTTGTACTTCTATCCCGTGGTGTTTTAAATAATATTTGTGGTACTTAGTAATCACTGAACATTAACACAGATTTCAATTAATTAACATGAGTCTAGCAAAAGTCTATTGGACAAATAAATTATGAAATAATCGTCTAGTAACAGGATTTCATCATGAGCTGACATCAGTTTGAGAACGATTGGAAAACCTGGGAGTACTGGAAAGCTGTTTCATCCCAATGTGGGAGTCTTCAGCAGTACGCACCCACCGGGATTCGAACCCAGGACCTCCTGGTTACAAGGCGAGCTCGTATACCATTAAGCCACTTGGACCCGATCCAGTGGCCCGTGACCCCTAGCCAATGTCTTCGGCGAGTATCTGTCCTCACACCCAACCTGCTGCTCATGATGAAATCCTGTAACCAATCAAATCCCTACAAACCAACACTTGAATGACAATGAGGTGCTAGCGACTTGCCTTATTCAGGTAGGTAGTTACCTTGGGGTTCAAGTGGGAAGTCTTGACCAGTAGGGTGCAGCAGGTCGGGTGTAAGGACGAATACTCGCTGAAGACATTGGCTGGTGTCGCGCTATGTCGTGAATTGGCAGAAGTTAGAATTCGTGGGCCAGCTCATGATGAAATCCTGCAACCAATCAAATCCATAAAAACGAACACTTGAAAATCGTCTAGTATTTAGATTATTCAAAATACTTGTCTTATTAACATTATCACCAAATTCATTAATATAATACACTACAATGCATAGACAGTTGCTGAAGTGACAAGTCAAATATATCAGATATATTATCTTAGTATGTATTTATCTTGTCAAGATTATACTGAGACTTGCATTTTGTTTACTAAAAGTTATCACTTGTTATCAGTTTTAACAGCATATTCATACGGCAGATGAAAATACACATGTACAACAAATTACTTTCGACAAAAATACTTGATTTTGATACACAGTTTTCTTATTTTACTCATATTACATGGTGGAATAATACAAACAAGATAAAATATTAAATTTTAGTTTGTAGCAAAGAGGTCTGAATATGCAAGTTATTAGCTAATTGAAAAGTATTAAAACATGTACATCTAATTGTTTAAAATCTGAGTGTATACTAACAAAACATCTGTTAAAATATTATTATTTAAGTAGGGATTGATCTATACTGTACGTGTAATTTCGTTCTAAATTGTTTCTACATATGATCCAGGTATATGTAGATTATCTGAGGGTTAGTTTTCTCCTTGTTTTTTTTACAATTCATTTAATTTGTTTATCTAAATGATTTAGATAAGATAGAAACGTCTAATTTAGGATTTACTGTTTTTTTTAAAAAACAACTGATTTATGCCTCAGTAATCCCACTTTAAAACCAGTGGGAAAACAGAAAATAAACTACTAGTTCGAAATATTTTCTAGAGGCAAAATATGCTGTTATTCTGGGTATACCTTAGAAAAAAATCCTAATCTTTTTATAAAGAGTGATGTTAAGCAATGTGAAGCATTTCTCGAAACGTAAGAGACAGTGGAATTAATGGTGCAATATTCAGAAACTTTGAACGAGATAGAGAATAAAATAATCAAATGTTGGTTTGTAGGGATTTCATTGGTTACAGGATTTTCATCATTAGCTGACATTGGTTAGAGAACCATTGGAAAACCTGGAAGTACTGGACAGCTGTTTCGTCCTGGTTTGGGACTCTTCATCGGTACGCACCCACCGTCACCGGTCGAACCCAGGACCTCCTGGTTACAAGACGAGCGAGCTCGTATACCATTAAGCCACTGGAACCCGATCCAATGGCCAGTCCATGAATTCTAACTTCTGCCAATTCACGACATAGTGCAACCCCAGCCAATGTCTTTGGCAAGTATTTGTCCCCACACCCGACAGGCTGCAACCTACTGGTCATGACTTCTCACTAGAACCCCAGGTACCTGAATAGGGCAAGTCGCTAGTGAGCATAAAATAATCTTAACTAAACATCTGATTGGGAAAATGATAGTCAAATTTAATCACCAAAGGATATTTTCTGTTTTAGTCTAAATCGTCTTTATGCAGATCAGGTCAAAACCACACGTCAGGATACATTAATATCACTATAATAATCAATTTTTCAGAGTTAAATTATTATGGATAGTTACGCAACTGTCTAGACTAAGCATAACAATTATTTAGTCTACGTAAAGGTTAAGGAAATGGTTAGTAGATCGTCTCATGGCGCTGATACGGCTGCTTATTCCGCAAAATTACATGTAAGTCTCACA